TCAGTGGGTAAAAGGTTCTTGTTGCCAAAACCAACGACTTGAGTTCCCGCTAGTTCCCCTCTGACCTCTCCAAGTGAGCCACAGACATAAATTAATTAAATAAACAAATGTAATTAAAAATTTTAAATTAGTCAATATTGGAATCACTGGGGAAAAGAAACCTATATAAACAAATACACTCTTGCATCTTACTGAGAAACATACATGCTTTCTCATTTGGAGGTTTTTGGGGGCTTTGTTTATTTGGGCACTAGGCATTAAACTTCGGCCTTTATACGCGAGAGGCAGGCAGTACTCAGTAAGTCCCCAGCCCTAGGGAATTCTAGGCAAGAGCTCTACCGATGAGTCGATTGGGAATCTGAGATCGCAGCCTTGCCCAGAGCAGACCTGGTTTTCTCTTGGTTCTGTTGTTGGCTTTTCCCTCTGTCTGGAAGGTTCTCTTCTTCAAGGCATCCTCCTGCCTCGGCTCAGGGCTCCTTCGTGTTTTCCTCAAACATCATGTTCTCTGGAAGACCCAGCATCCTCACCTAACCCTTTGTCTACTTCTGCTTATTTTCCTTGGCTGACCCGGGTTCTGTTTGGTTTCACGAGACAGGGCCTCACTCTGTAACCCAGGCTGACCTTGAACTCGTCTTTGCTCTCGGCTGTCTTGATTGTATCGGCATGTATGGACTCAGTGTGTATCTGCTGACGGGCTGCTTGACTAAGATTCGGGTAAATGCCTACTGCCTGTCCTCTGGGCCAGAGCACAATGCCAGACACGCGGCGGGCGTTTTGCTTGTATCTGTGGAAACATGAATGAGGAGCCGCTGCGGCTGCGTTCCCTGCTGACCTGATTTTCTCTCCCTCTCTCCTCTCCATCTTATTTCGGGTTTAACCCAGGGCTTTCCGATGCACCAAAAGAGTGTTCTGCCAACGGGAACACAGGCTTATGTCACTATGCCTGGAAGAATGAACATAATATTATAGATCTTTAAAAACCATTTATTTTAGTAGGGCATGGTGGTGCGTGCCTTTAATCCCAGCACTCGGGAGGCAGAGTCAGTCGGATCTCTGTGAGGCTGAGGCCAGCCTGGTCTACAGAGTGAGACCCAGGACAGCCAGAACTACATGAGAAACCTTGCCTCAAAAAATTATTTTTTCTACTCCCCACTCCGTGAGAGAGAGAGAGAGAGAGAGAGAGAGAGAGAGAGAGAGAGACATGTGTACTCAGTGTCCTCAGAGTCTAGAAGAGTTATCTTAAGCACTGAACCATTTATTTCTCCAGCCACAGAAAATACCTTTTAAAACCAATACTATCTGTACCAGCAGTGACTATGTCACTAACTATTCTTCAAGAAGATTGATTTTAGGGCTGCCTAAGTAGGCATCCTATCAATGAACTCTAATTTGTTTAACCACATTTTCTTGTTGAGCATCTTGCTTTTATAAACCATTGTCTGCACCCAGTGTGGCACAAGCTTTTAATTTTTTGTATTGGTCTGGTTTTTTGAGACAAGCTTTCTCTGTGTAGCTCTGGATATCCTGGAATGAACTCTGTAGACCAGGCTACCCATAAACTCAGAGATTTGCCTGCTCCTGCCTCCCCAATACTGAGATTAAAGGCATGCGCCACCAGTCCCAATATTCCAAACATTTTTATGCACTGGGAGTTTTATGCGAAAGTGGAATTATTGGTCTCTGGTTGACTCTGGAGACCTAAGTCTGGAGACTTCTGCTTGCTCATTCACTCACTGACTGCTCTCTGTCGCCTCCCCATGGTCGGGCATGCACACTGAAGCTCCTACAACAGGGATTCACACTCCAGCCAGCATTCACAGAATCCTCTCCAGTGTTTAAATTGTTGTTGATTTTTCCCCTCCTTTTTGCATTGTTTGTTCGTTTGACCTGTGTATTAGTGTAGACCAGAATGAGGAGAACGAAGAGAATGTCCCCTCCTTCCTGGGATCAAATTCAGGTCATCGGGCTTGGTGGCAAGCTATCTTACCGGCTGAGCTATCTGAGGTCTGGCATCAAAGCCCATGCTCGTAAAAACTGCTCACACTGGCTGGATAAATATACCCACTGAGCACTCGCTGTGAGCCAATCACACTGCATATTGATAACGCCAACATTGACAGAGCATGCTGAGCTGCAGGCCCTGTGCTAATCATGTAACACACTCCTTACATTTTGCGGTGGGGCTCTCCCAAGAAGATGTAAAATTAACATCTGTCTCCACACAGGGAGACAGCCAATGGAATAACACGCACAAGTTTATTAGGGGTTATTTATGGGATGGTGGAAAGCTACAAACGACTGCACACGCCCTCAGGTTACCCCCACACACACCTCATCCTGTTTCCTACCCCCATTTTATGGTGCTCTAGGGTATAAACCAAGGTACCCCTCAAATGGTATAAACCAAGGCCTAGATCGCCACCTAGTGTTAGAACAGCAAACTACAGGCCCGGGTGTTGTGTGGTTATTTCTTGGTCCTTAGGGAAGGATACTGACTGTACTTGTAGGTGTTCAGCAAATGCTGTTTGAGCCTGGGAGCATGGTTTGTCTTGCTGCGTCTGGCACGGAGATCGGCTAAAAGGTGGCTTGCAAGACAGTTATTCTAGCTAAGCTATGAAGGGTTGGTGTCACTGAAGTCATCACAAAAAACTGTATGCACTATTTGTTATCCCCATTCAAAAATATGCAAATAAAGGCACAGAGAAGGTAAGTAACTTCTCCAAAATCACACAGGCAGTCTGACTTCAAAGTCTGAACTTCTGACCACTTTTCCCCCTGGAGAAAAAGAACATGAATAAAATCTAAAAAACACAAAATGATAAAGACTAGAAAGTATTTTATGTGTCATAAAATATTCCTCAATGGCCATAAAAAGAACATGTAGGGCTGAAGACACAGCTTATCTGTAGAGCCCCTGCCTAGAATCTCCCAGTGAGGTGCTTGTGGTGTGGCTCAGTGGTAGAGCCCCTGCCTAGAATCCCAGTGAGGGAGGGGCTGGGGTGTGGCTCAGTGGTAGAGCCCCTGCCTAGAATCCCAGTGAGGGAGGGGCTGGGGCGTGGCCCAGTGGTAGAGCCCCTGCCTACAATCCCCCAGTCACTAGTTTAGAGTTTCTTATTAAGTAGAAATTGGAGAGCATTTTCTGCTTATAAGATTATATGATCTCCACTCGGGAGGCAGAGGCAGGCGGATCTCTGTGAGTTCGAGGCCAGCCTGGTCTACAAAGTGAGTTCCAGGACAGCCTCCAAAACAATACAGAGAAACCCTGTCTCTAAAAAAACAAAACAAAACAAAACAAAAAAAGCAGCATGCAAGAGAACGATGCCATGACACCGAGCTTGGGGGGAGGGGTTTTATTGAGGGAATGTGAATGGGAAGAGGAGGAGAGGAGAGGGCAGACCAACCTCTGGGGACAGGAGTGGCAGAAGAGAAGAGAGAGGCAGAGAAAGAGAGAGAGGGGAGAGAGAGAGAGAGAGAGAGAGAAGCAGAGAGAGATGGGAGGTGAACAGGGCCCTTTTAAAGGGGAACGTAGTGAATGTGCTGTGAATGTGCACAGGAGGTGCTCTTAGTGGCTGCAGCTGAGGGCGTATCCTGTCAGAACCCCAAGGACAGGCCAGTACAGATGATCATATAAAAAGTAGTCTATGGCGGGGCTGGGTGGCACACGCCTTTAGTCCCAGGCAGAGGCAGGTGGATCACTGTGAGTGTAAGACAAGCCTGGTCTACAAGAGCAGGTTCCATGACAGCCTCCAAAGCCATGGAGAAATCCTGCCTCGAAAAACCAAAAGAAAAAAAAAAGTAGTCTACAGAGTCAATGCAATCCCCATTAAAATTCCCATTCTTCAAAGAGATAAAGAAAAAATAATATTCAAGAATTGAAGAGATGGTGCAGCGGTTAAGAGCACTGGTTGCTCTTCCAGAGGACCTGGGTTCAATTCCCTGCCCCCACTTGGCAATTCACAACTGGCTGTAACTCCAGTTCTAGGAGATCTGCACGTATGCAGTGCACACGTCGCACACACACACACACACACACAAACACACACACACAGAGGCACAGCACTCATATAGACAAAGTAAAAATAAATCTTTTGAAAGAAGTTCCCAAACCACCAAACAATGAAACCAAAAAACAAATGTACTATCATATGAGATTTTAATCATAAAAGAAAGCTGGGAGCCAGGCTCCTGTGGGAACTCTTTTATCTTTCCAGTTTGTCTGTAAAACCATTCCTCCAAGATAAAGCGTGTTTTTAAACATGAAAAGACAGCACAACAGACATAGTGATGTGGGCCATGTTCGCCTCGGCAGGCCGGAAAAGCAGGTCACACACTCCCCTGGGACCGGCTAGAAGTCTTCCGTGCTCAGCAATTGCTTCCGAAGCCCCTGAGTCTCCGTGTATGGCACATGGACCGGAGGCGGCAGTGCCCACCCGTGCGAGCACACACAGGGCTCCCCCTCAGCAGGCTGTAGCTCCCACGGCTGGCCTTTCTGTGAGTCACCTGGAGCAGAGGCCTCACTGTTCTGAGTGAGGTTTGGAGGGATGTGCTGGCCTGAATGAGGACACTCCCCTTCAGGTTCCCTTCCTCACGCACTCTATAGTTGGCCCTGGGTAGCTAACTATGGACCGGTGACCTGGGCTGGGGAAGCAACAGAATCCAAGGAATCCCTGAAGTCCCCAGAGGTCGAGTTTTGAAGATGATAACAGAATTTTTTAAATGCATTTACATTAAGTGTTAATGAAGAGCTCTGTGTCCTGGGATGGCTGTGGTCCATCACATCAGCACTTGCTTGGGGTCGGCCTGGACTACATAGTGAGACCCTGTGTCAGCAAATTAAATTTAAAAAAGAAAATCAAGGCCGGGCGGTGGTGGCGCGCGCCTTTAATCCCAGCACTTGAGAGGCAGAGGCAGGCGGATCTCTGTGAGTTCGAGGGCAGCCTGGTCTACAGAATGAGTTCCAGGACAGCCAGGACCACACAGAGAAACCCTGTCTCAAAAAACAAAATGCAAAATTTAAAAAGGCAGCTAGGGGGCTGGAGAGATGGCTCAGCAGTTAAGAGCACTGGCTGCTCTTGAAGAGGACCCAGGTTCGGTTCCCAGCGTCCACATGGTGGCTCATAACCAGCAGTAACTCCCATCTCAGGGGACTCGGATGCCCTCTTCTGGCCTCATGCGCACAGACATACACATAAGAAAAACACTCATACACATAAAATAAAAATAAATTAAAACTTAACCAAAATAATAATAAAGGCAGCCGGGAATAATGGCGCATGCCTGTAGCTCCAGCTCAGAGAGACTGAGGCAAGAAGACCACCAGATCAAGTCCAGCCTGTGGCAACTGGAAGAGGGGAGGAGAGAGGAGAGGGAGGAGGAGAAGGAGGGGAGGGAAAAATACAGGCTGGTGGTGAGCCTTTCATGCCGTGTGGGGCTGCTCCCTACAGGCTCCCCTCTCTCCACATAGGTAAGCAGAGGTTCACAAGGCCCCGTGACTTGCCGCCGTCACACGGGACGTGGGCAAAGCCGGGCTCGGCCTCCTAGTGCTACCTAGCGCAGGCCTTCACTCTCTGTAGACTCTCCCGGTCAGGCAGGAACACAGCCGGGCCCAGAGCACGAGACCTCCAGTCAGGCCGCGGTGGCACCGCCACAGCCTCCAGTTGGCCCTTTATGACATGCCTTCGCTGGTCAACATTCTCCCCTTGTGTGTCATTCAGGTTGGGTGACCTGGTTTCTCTGCCTGATTCACCGCTGTCCCTGACACGGCCAGGTCAGAGCTCGGCATGTGACATCCTTCCTAAGGCCGCTGTTAGGAAACTGAGAGACACCCATCCCAGGGCAACAATGAACCAGCCGGGCTGGGAAGAGGGGACACCGGGGCCTCAGTCCAACCTAGCAGGTTTAGATGGAGGTGACGGGCTCGAGCGTGAACAAAAGGCCGCTAGTCACCATCGCACAGCCCTGTGCCCAAGGAGGAGCCAGACAATGACTGACGATCGAGGCCCACAGCGAAGGCATCGGGCACTGAAGTAGTTACGGGGTCCCAGAGACCTGGCCCCTGAGGAGAGGACAACAGGGAGGAAGCCTAAGGTAGAAAAGATGTCAGTTCTAGCATTTGGGAGATGGAGGCAAGGAGGGTCAGAAGTCCAAGGACATCCTCAGACACACGGAGTTGAGGGCTAGCCTGGACTACATGAGGACCTGTCTAAAAGCATGCTGGGGGCGGCTGGGGCTTCCAACCTGAAGGCACTTCAGAGTGAACTCAGGAAGCTCAGCCCCTGAGTTCACCGGCCTTTGCAAAGGGAAAGTTAAAATGCTCGACGCGTTCCGTGAGCCTTCGATCGAGTGACAGGCAACAGAGACTGAGCCCTGAAGAGGCTCAGAAATGGACTGCTGGGCGCAATGGAGGAATAGCTACGAGGTGACCCACAGGGCAGGAATCTTCTGGGGCCAGCCTAGGCATCCCACACCTCCATCCAAAGCCCTCAGCGGGACCCACGAGGCTCCATGGAATCTGTCACTGCTCTGTTCTCTCCCTCATTGTTGGGTGACGGGCACAGCGGCCCCCTCAGCCAGTGGGGAAAACACTGACCTGCCTGCCTGGGGCCGTGGACGTCCTTCCTGCCTTACCTGTGTCCCCTACCGTCAACTGCAGTCCAGGTGTCACCCATCTCCCTGCAAACTGACACTGCCCCCCCCAAGCACTTATCCCTTATAAGCTGTTTGTTATTCAAGTCCTCGTTTCTACGTCCATCCTGCGAGGGGAGAGATCTGTCTTGTGCCGTCCCTGGCGTATGGTAGCTCCTCCATAAGCCGTGGCGGGATGTGTAAAAGGGAGAAGAGAGAGAGGGACATCGAGGGGAGGACATAGCAGATCTGTGTGCTACTTAAGTCTTGTCAGCTGTGCTCTGGGGGAGGCCATAATGTTACCCCATCCTCTCTGCCCGGAGAAGATAGTGCTGGCTGGGAAACTGAGGCACAGGGGGACATTAAGCAGTCCATGCAAGTCAGGGTGGGAAGAGAGTTTTAGAGTAACCCTGTTGGCAACTCCTTCATGAGGGCTGTGCCCACCTTGCTGATCCCGGCACAGGACACCCTTCAGGGGAGACGGCCCGAGGGAGCCATGGCTGTAAGCCTCTTTATCCTGAGGCCATGGGTCCCCTGCTCTGTCGGAATGACGCAGGAGGGTGGGGCTGTGTGTCGAGGCCGCCATATGGAGCCCACATACCTGCCCTCCCTCCCCAAGCAGTCTGGGCTCCCACCTCTCCAGGAGGTGAGAGCTGTCTGACCTCTCTCAGGCCTGCACCCTCAGGCTTCTGGATGGCAGGGGAGTTGGGGTCCTGCCCTGACTCCCCGACCAGGCCAGGATACTGCCTGGTCCCAGCAGCAAGCATCTTCATGAGGGAAGCCCGGGTCTTAGTGGTACGTCATCCGGCCAAACAAAGGTCTAACAATCCAGAAGTCGTCTACAATCTTCCCATCCTGAGAAGATCAGGAACAGGAAGCAATGAGGAAGGGAAGCTTGGCCTGTGGGGCCAGCTGGCCTGGGTTCAAATCCCACCTCCCCCTCTAAAGCTGGATGACCCTGAACGAGTCCCTATATCCCTCTGAGCCCCAGTTTCCCTCATTTGAAATGTCAAGATGAAGCCACAGTGTGGCGTGCACCGGTAGAGCCAGCTCTTGGGAGGCAGCACAGGGGGACCTGCCCAGCTCAGCCTGGGCTGTGTAGGAACACCCTGGCTTAACCTTGCACCTAGGAATGGGTTTTTTTCTTTGTTGGTTGGTTGGTTTTGGCTGTTTTGAGGTACAGTTTCTCGTAACATGGCTGGCCTTGAATTTGGTATATAACCAAGAAAGACTCTGAACATCCCATGCACTCTCCTAGGCGCTGAGCTTACAGGCATGAGTCACCATTTATGTGGTGCTGAGACTCAAACCCGGGGCCTCCTGGTTGCTAAGTAATTGCTCAGTGAACTGAGCTGCACGCCTAGCTCACCTGGCTATGCTCCAGGGTATCCGGGGCCCATGCTGCCCTACTCACACGGTTCGCTACTACGCACATGGTTCGCTGTGCTCAGCAGCCATGCTATTTGGAACAGAGAACACTCTAGGATGATTACAGGGTCACCGTGACAACAGACGCAAGGGTGACAGAGCCTGCCCGTGGCACATGCTTTGGCTGTGCTGAAAATGTGGCACCTGGGTCAGATCACAGCTCTGCTGTCTGAGCCTGTGTGACTGTGGGGGAATCGCTTTCCTTTATCTAACGTCCCCCTGCCAGGATGTGTTCTCAGCACGTCGTGGGTGTGCTATTACGTGGCCACCGCACACGGCGAACCAGAATCTGTGGTCAACCCATTTCGCAGTTACGAAAACTGAAGACCGCAGAGGTCAGAGAAGTTGTTCAGGGTCTCGTGGTTGGTAGGAAGCATGTGCAGGACTTGAACGCAGGCTTCCAATTTCAGACTACATTATTTTTCTTCTTTTGGGCTCATGATCTCCCTGTGTAGCCTTGGAATCTACTCCTACTGCCTAAACCTCCCAGCTGTTTATATTTTTATTTTATTTTGTTTGTTTTCTTGTCCTTTTCAGAGCTGGGGATTGAACCTAGGGCCTCACACATGTTAAGCAGGGGCTCTACCACTGAGGCACATCCCAGCCCCTCACTGGGGGATTCTAGGCAGGTACTGTAATACTAAGCCATGACCCTAATTCTTTTGCCTCAACCTCTCAAGTGATAGGATTCTAGGTATGCCTTACCACACCCAATATATTGATTTACTTTTTTGTTTGTTTGTTTTCAAGACAATGTTTCACTATGTAACCCTGGCCATGCTACAACTAGCTTTGTAGACCAGCCCGGGCTTGAACTCAGAGATCTTCCTGCCTCTGCCTCTCAAGTCCTGTGTTAAAGGTTTGTGCTACCCTGACCAGTTTGATTTACTTTTGAGCCCAAGGTTTTAACCACTCAGCTCCCGTATCCCCCGGACCGGACTGTGCAGTTTATAACCCGTGCCCGGCATACCTGGTCGTCAGACACCTGCTGGAGACGCATGTGGGTGCCGTTAAGGATGTGCATCCGAGTGTACCCATACTCCTTCAAGCGCATGGCGCTCCAGGGTCTGGGTTTTATAACAAAGGGAGTCAGCAACTCTTCACAGCCCTGTGGAGGACAGACAGTCAGACAGCATGGGACACAGGAGCAGCAGGAAGCACATCAGGCCACGATTCTGAGGCCTCCAAGAGCATGTCCGCTACCACTCGGCCACAAATGTTCAGTCCCAGCACTTGGGAGGTTGAGACAGGAGGATCACAGAGTTCAAGGCTAGCCTGGTCTACTTAATCAGGTGTAGACCAGACTGGATTATGGAGATCCTGTCTCAAAAATAAACGGGGACAGGACAGTGGACACAGGCCTTTAGTCCCAGCACTGCAGAGGCAGAGGCAGGCAGGTCTCCGAGATCGAGGCCAGGGTGGTCTACAGAGAGAGTTCTAGGACAGCCAGGACAGTTAAACAGAGAAACCCTGTCTGGAAAAACAAAACAAACAAACAATAAAATAAAATAAACTGGGAGCTGATAAGGTGACTTGGCAGATAAAGACATTGCCACCAAACCTAGCAACCTGAGCTTGGTGCCCAGAGCACCCATGGTAGGAGAGAACCACCCTAGTGTGTTGTCTCTCTCTTTCAGAACACCCATGGTAGGAGAGAACCACCCTAGTGTGTTGTCTCTCTCTTTCAGAACACCCATGGTAGGAGAGAACCACCCTAGTGTGTTGTCTCTCTCTTTCAGAACATCCATGGTAGGAGAAAACCACCCTAGTGTGTTGTCTCTCTCTTTCAGAACACCCATGGTAGGAGAGAACCACCCTAGTGTGTTGTCTCTCTCTTTCACATGTGAACTCTGCACCCCCACACAAAAATAAACAACAACAAATGAAAATAAATCAACCAGGCTGGGGTTGTAGCTCAGGTGAAAGAATGCTTGCCTTGCATGCATGAAGCTCCAGGTTCGATTCCCAGCACAACACGGGAGGATATTTATTCCTTGAGTGGAGGGTGAGAGAGAGAGAGAGAGACAGACAGACAGACACCCTCTTTCCACATGTGGGCCCTGGGAATTGAACTCAGGTCATCAGGGTTGGCAGAGAGTACCATTGCTCACTCTGGTCCTGTTTTGTCTTTTGAAATAAGATCTCCTACTGCAGCCCAGGCTGGTGTAGAACTCACTGTATGGCCTTGAACTCAGGGCAGTCCTCTGGCTTCCAGCCTCCAGAATGTCAGAGTTACAAGCACACACCACCACACAGGGCTTCCAACGACTGTGGTTTCCCTATCTGTGACCCATCGTGTTTCCTACCCTGGCCTGCGCATCCCCACAGCACCCGGCCTCCCAGTTCTGAAGGCAGAAGACGTCAGCATGTCTAAACCAGTCTAAACTAGCTCCTTCCCGCTGCTCACCGCAGATCCCGTGATGATGTGAACTGGGCCTCGGGGATTCGTATAGGGCTTTTCCAGGCTGCCATTTAGTACCTAGAGGAAAGGGCAAAGTGGACGGTGGGTGACAGCTGGGGAGGGTCTGACCGCACGGACATCAGTCATTTGGTCCTGCGTCCTCCTTGGGCCTCACCTGGTAGTTGTAAATCGGCCACAGCCGCTCGTAGGAGTGTTCATGAGCCCAGAACTCCAGATCCACACCTAAGGCAGAACGATTGCCCATCAGGCTTCTGGGTGGGGAGGGATGGTGCCGGGGACTCCCCAGGGTCACTCACCATATTTATGGAAAAGGTCCTCCAGCCCGAACAGCTTGCCTTTGAGGCCTTTGCGGACCTGTCAGGATGAACAGGGAGGTGAGGAGACCCAGCCTCCCAACACGCCTCCCTGCCACCCAGGGAGGGGACCTCACCCTGCTCTCATGCTTCGTGCAGTCATCCAGGTCCGCGTTGGAACAGTACATGGGCCGGTGACCCATCGTGATGATCCAGGGTCGGGCTGCCCGGTTCTTATTGGCTTTCTAGAGAAAAGAGCTCGGAGTGAGGGACAGCAACAGGGCTGAGAGGCGCAGGGGGCTTGCACCCGGGCCTACCTGGAGGTCTTTCTCCAGCCAGCGGAACTGTCTCTCGACCAGATGGCGGCCATAGTGGAGAAAGAAGTACACCTCCGTGGAGAAGGAGATGATATGGGCGGGACCCAGGTCCCAGCTACAGGGGTCAAAAGACAAGGGGCAGAGATGCGGAGTCTGCGCCACCCATCCTTCAGGGAAGTCGGTCTGACCCCCAGCACCCTCCACGTTACCTGTACCACAAGCCTTCATTGTCCCCCGGCATGCTGAAGCGAGCCTTGTAGTTAGAGAAATTGCTGGGGGAAAAGCATTATAAAGAACAAGGAGTAAGGACTTGGATTCAGCAGCCTCTGTCTTTCAACTTTCAGAGCAGAGTGCGGCTCCCAGCCCACCCTTTCTTTTATCCCTCCCTTTTCTAGCGCACATGAGGCACCTGCAGCGTGAGGGACTTAAGTGAGACTACGCAATCGTGTTCACTAATCTGCTTTTGCCCGCCTCTGCAGCCCTCCATACTCACTAGCGCTGTTCGTGATTCCCGGGGCATGTCATGTATGGCAGGCTGGCAGCCACAGGTTCAATGAGCCGCATGAATCTGTCCCCAACACGAGCGTTGTCCTGGTCCATGTTGTAGGCAAAGTCTCCTGGAGGGAAGTAGGGAATGGAAGGGAGTGAGGCCCAGGATCTGCTTCCTAGGATCAAGATGTAGCGGGGCTCTACCACTGAGCCACACCCCAGCACCTCACTGGGGGATTCTAGGCAGATGCTCTACCACTGAGCCACAACCCAGCACCTCACTGGGGGATTCTAGGCAGGGGCTCTACCACTGAGCCACACCCCTAACCCCTCACTGGGGGATTCTAGGCAGGGGCTCTACCACTGAGCCACACCCCAGCCCCTCACTGGGGAATTCTAGGCAGGGGCTCTACCACTGAGCCACAACCCAGCACCTCACTGGGGGATTCTAGGCAGATGCTCTACCACTGAGCCACAACCCAGCACCTCACTGGGGAATTCTAGGCAGGGGCTCTACCCCTAAGCCACCCCATAAACCTTGGCTTTATTAAACAAGGCCTCACAAAGCTGTTTAAGCTGGTTTTGAATTCTGGGCAACCCTCCTGCCTCAGCCTCTCCACTGCTGGGATTACCACGCCCATTCGTCTTAATTTATTATAACATTTCTGTGTATTTTGAGTGAGCCTCACCTCTCGCAATAATAACTGAGGTCTTAACCTCAGACAGACAGTGTTTCTGGGGTTAGCTTCGGCTCCCACCCCAGCCCCACCCAGCCCCACCCAGCCTCCAGCGCCCAGCGCCCAGCCCACCAGCCTCCGGGCGCACCGGTGCCTCACCCACATGGAGCACTGCGTCAAACATGCCCTGCTGGGTGTCCCTCCGCAGCCTGGGCAGAGCCTTGGCGTTGTCGGCCCCCATGTCCCCAAACACAGCCAGGCGGGGACTCCAGTGGACCCCATTCTTCAAGGCTGTGAAGCGAAACCGCCGGCTCCAGCCCTGAGAGCTGCCACAGCGGTAAACTGAGGGCAGAACACAAAACAGACCTCTGTCAGCTGGGGAGGCAGGGACCAGGACCTTCCCTCCATCCTCATGCCGCTGGAGAGGGAGGACAACATAGGGACGCCATTATTACTGTTATTATTAATGATGATGGAGATTATTATTGCTGTTATTATTGATGATGGAGACTAACCTGGGCTACCTGACAGCGTCCCGGGATGACCCGGACTTTCGAATCTTCCTGCCTCCCCCCAAGTGCTGGGATCACAGACCTGTGTTGTCACACCGGGTCTCAGATCCCAGGGTCTCACATGCGGGGCAGGCGAGCCGCCAGCCCAGCCTCTGCTGCTTCTGAAACGGACCTCGCTGCCCCCCAGACCCTCTCACCATAGTGGGCCCCGGGCTGCAGCTTCCTCAGCGTCACTCGGTGGATGTACAGCTTGCGCCGCAGAACTCCCCCATCCACGAAGGTGGTGGCAGCGCCGTGGGCACGGAATGGGAGCGGCCCAGACAGCTGCATGCCGAACTGCACCTCGGACCGGGCTGGAGCCCATGTGGTCCAGGTCACGGTCATGGAGCCAGGCTCACCTGCGGAGAGAGGAATCAGAGCACGGACTGGGAAAGTCCTTCAAGCAGGGGGTGGGGGCCACTTAGCAGCAGTCGGTCAGTCCACGCCCTCTGCCGTTTCCAAACGGAGTCCTCCCCGAGCCTCAGTTTCCCCGTACCTGAAACGGAATAGGGCTATCTATCCGCCAAGGTTGTAAGGAAGCATGGATCCATACAAATACAATTGGCAAGTAGCATCCTGGGTTACAGGTCTTGGAATTTAACCAACTGTGGGTTGAAAATACTCCAGAGAGAAACCAGTTGTCAAATGGCTCGTCCCCAAGACCCACATGGCTCCCAAAAGTTGTCTTCTGAGACAACGTTTAACCCTAAGAGAGGAAGGCAGATTTCTTGATGCCAGCCTGGTCTACACAGTGAACTAGAGGTCACCCAGGGCTACATAGTGAAACCTTGTCTAAAAAAAAAAAAAAGATCCCGGGCATTGGTGGCGCACGCCTTTAATCCCAGCACTGGGGAGGCAGAGGCAGGCGGACAGCCTCCAAAGCCACAGAAAAACCCTGTCTCAAAAAATCAAAACAAACAAAACCAAAAAACCAAACAAAACAAAAAGAAAAAGAAAAAATCCTTTTACCTCCACGTGTGCGCTGTGCATAGGTGTGCCTCCCTCCAACATGAACAAAACAATAAAGGGAAAAAAAGGAAATTTGGGGTGGGTGGAGAGATGGCTCAGTGGTTAAAAGCACTGGCTGCTCTTCCAGAGGACCTGGGTTCAGTTCCCAGCACTGACAAGGCAGCTCACAGCTGTCTGTAACTCCAGTTCCTGGGGATTGACACCCTCTTCTGGTCTCTGAGGGATCGGACTTGTATATGGTTCACAGACACAGGCAGCCAAAGCACCCGTACACATAAAAATAGAATACATTTTCGAGAGAGGGTTTGAGGATGTGTGTAGAGTGCCTGCCCAGAGTGCACAGCTTTGGGTCCCATGCCAGCATCACATAACCAGCATCCAGAGACTGATGTGGGTCCCACCCCAGAGTCACCAGCATCCAGAGACTGATGTGGGTCCCCTCCCAGCATCACCAGCATCTGGTGACTGATGTGGGTCCCATCCCAGCATCACATAACCAGCATCCAGAGACTGATGAGGGTCCTATCCCAGAGTCACATAACCAGCATCCAGAGACTGATGAGGGTCCTATCCCAGCATCACATAACCAGCATCCAGAGACTGATGAGGGTCCTATCCCAGAGTCACATAACTAGCATCCAGAGACTGATGTGGGTCCCACCCCAGAGTCACCAGCATCCAGAGACTGATGTGGGTCCCATCCCAGCATCACATAACCAGCATCCAGAGACTGATGAGGGTCCTATCCCAGCATCACATAACCAGCATCCAGAGACTGATGAGGGTCCTATCCCAGCATCACATAACCAGCATCCAGAGACTGATGAGGGTCCTATCCCAGAGTCACATAGCCAGCATCCAGAGACTGATGTGGGTCCCATCCCATCATCACATAACCAGCATCCAGAGACTGATGAGGGTCCTATCCCAGAGTCACATAGCCAGCATCCAGAGACTGATGTGGGTCCCATCCCAGCATCACATAACCAGCATCCAGAGACTGATGAGGGTCCTATCCCAGCATCACATAACCAGCATCTGGAGACTGATGTGGGTCCCATCCCAGCATCACATAACCAGCATCCAGAGACTGATGAGGGTCCCATCCCAGTATCACATAACCAGCATCCGGAGACTGAGACAGGAGAACAGGAACTTCTTGTTCAGCCTGAACTATGTAACAAATTCTGAGCCAACCTGGGCTTCACAGCAAGGCTCTGTTTTAAAAAAAGAAAATCAGCCGGGTGTTGGTGGTGCACGCCTTTTAATCCCAGCACTCGGGAGGCAGAGGCAGGTGGATCTCTGTGAGTTTGAGGCTAGCCTGGTCTACAGAGCGAGTTCCAGGACAGCCTCCAAAACAATACAGAGAAAAGAAAACAAAATCAAACATGAAGGAGGGAGAAACACCAAGCCCAGCCCTTCCTTAAGGATGTATACTCTGCTCTTGTGTAGAATGTGCTCCAGTAAATCACCAAGGAAACACAGGGTGGGACACACACACACACACACACACACTCACTCACACACACACACACACACACACACACACACACGACATAAAAGTAGGAGGTGGGGATGGAACATGAGAGGGTGAGGGGCAGGTGAATGTGACCCACATACAGTATATACAGGTATGAAATACATACATTATATACATGTACAAATGTATGAAATGCATATGTTATATACATGTACAACAGTGGGCCAGGAGGTGATGGCGCACGCCTTTAATCCCAGCACTCAGGAAGCAGAGAGGCAGGTGGATCTCTTAGTTCAAGGGCAGCCTGGTCTACAGAGAGAGTTCCAGGACAGCCAGGGCTACCCAGAGAAACCCTGTCTGGAAAACCTCAAATAAACAAACAAATAAATAGAAAAGAGAAAATGTCATTATGAAGCTTCTGATGTGTGATTACTATAAATCAATTAAAATTAAGACAAGACAAACAAAGAAACATCTCAGTACAAGAGCTACTTTCCAGGACACTGGTGTTCAGCACTGAGTCACAGTGTGCTGGAGGTTCTGTGCCAACACTATGGCCTTGTGCCTTTGTTTGTAGGTGACCTCAGGTCTGGCATCCCGAGAATGCCCTGGCAGCCATCTTTAGTGAATAGGGCAGACAACCTCAGGCAAAGAACTCGCAACAATGAGGTTTACAGAATGAGTCAATGTCCTTATTCTTCTGCCCTGTGTGCTAGCCTGCAGCCAACATTGCACGCACGTGATGTCATCTGAGAGCTCCAGACAGGCATCTGGATGCCAGCTACGTAATAGGGGGGGGGGGAGAGGATGACAAAGGCCACCTGTAGGGCAGGAGGGAGCTGTGGTATTCACCCTGTCTGCAGGATCTCATATTGTATCCCAGGTTAGCTTGGAACTTGTTATGTGGCCCAGAATGGCCTTGAACTTGCGGTAATCGCCCTGCCTCAGCTTGGATAGTAAGAGTGAGTCACCACGCTTGGATCTAGAGCAAATCTGTACACAGTGGCTTTTTATATCACAGGATTATTTAATGGCAGCCTCTAGTAGTTCTCTCTGTCTCTGTCTCTCTGTCTCTCTCTCTCTCTCCCTTTTCTTGGCAGGGTCTTACTGCACATCCACCTTCCTTGTTTTTGAAAATCAAGCATAGATTTATTGAAGAATTCCCAAAACTAATATAGGGGCTCCAGAAGTTGGGAGATGCACTTCAGACTCTCAAATCAAGCAACCAAGTCAAGGCTTTTACCACGTGGAGGGCCAACGAGAAGCCTAAAGACTTGTGCTCAATCCCAGGGACCCATGGTGGAAGGAGAGAAATAAACTCTTGAAGGCTGTCCTCTGGTCTCCATACATGTGCACACCCACGTTCCCACACAAGCAAGCAATAAACAAACAAAATACGAGTGGAGCCCGACACCTGTAATTCCATGAGTTCAAAGCCAGCCCAGGCCACTTAGTGAGTTCCAGGCCAGCTCAATCTACACACCAAATATAACACCAATAATGATCAAGCAGTATTGTAACATTAGGGCCATAGATTCTCCTCCAGTGATTTGAAAGTGTAGGTCAACTTAGCAAGGCATGGTGGAGCACATCTGTAAAGCATAGTGGGACACATCTGGAAGCCTAGGACTCGGGAGACAGGCCAGAGGGTGGCAGGTTTGAGGACAGCCCAAGGAAAACAATGAGGACCTGCCGAAAGAGAGAGAGAGAGAGAGAGAGAGAGAGAGAGAGAGAGAGGAAATGAAAAAGGAAGGAAGGAAGGAAGGGAGAGAGGGAGGGGGACAGAGGAAAAGATAAATATATATGAGCTGGCATGGTGGTACACACTTGTAATCCCATCCACTTGGGGTAGCTGAGGCAGGAGGATCATGAGTTTGAGGTCAGCCTGAATGACATAGTGAGTGTTAGAGACAAAACATACAGTTGGCTACCCTAAAAATACGGGGAAATGGGGTATGAAAGCCACTGCTCACAAAGGGATACAGAAAGGACACCCCGGGAGCTGACAAGATGGACTGTAGGGAGGGGTGGGGAATGGGTTTTATCACAACAGTGAGAGCAGACACTCCTTCAGGCTGATGTTTTTAGAGTAATCTGACTTCCAGGGTTACATTCCACGTCTAACTTTCAGGATTATATTCTACACTCTCTCTCTCTCTCTCTCTCTCTCTCTCTCTCTCTCTCTCTCTCTCTCTCTCTCTCTCTTTCTCTCTCTCTCTCACTCACACACACACACTTTCTCTCTCTTACTTCCCCTCCCTCTCTCTCTCGCACACACACACACACACACACACACACTAAAACTTAAGAGAACATTAAAAGCAGCCAGGTGTGAAAGGAAAGCAACATGGCTGTATTGCAACATGGAAGACATCAGCACACTGAAGGAAGCAGGGAGGAAACTGCATGAAGAGCAGCGTCCTAACAGACTGATGAGGCTCACGATAAAACAGACCATGTCAGTGACCCGCTCACTTGTGCCTCTTGAAGTGATGCGGGAAGAAGGGATTTTCTTTCCGCATACAGGAGGAACTCAGAGCTAGAGACACACTAGGCAAGTGTTCTGCCACTGACTCACATTTCAGCACACCGCCACTCCCAAGCCAGGGCAAAATCCTAGAGACCAAATCTGGGACACTGTGACTAGAAATAAGCAGTGATGGTACTGGATTTTCACCCAGAGAATGGAAAATATCCAAAAGTCTGGCATGGAAAGACTAAAATTTCAATTAGATAGGAAGGAACAGCTGGGGTCATGGCTCAGCGGTCAAGCCCCTGCCTAGAATCCCCCAGTGAGGGCTGGGGTGTGACTCAGTGGTAGAGCCCCTGAATAGAATCCCCCAGTGAGGGGCTGGGGGCGTGGCTCAGTGGTAGAGCCCCTGCCTAGAATCCCCCAGTGAGGGGCTGGGG